AAATTGATAACATTCTCATTAAAGACATTGCTCCTTTATTGTTCAACCCTTAACTAATATTTTCAATCTTTCTTTAATATCTGGTGAGGTTCCTGACCAAATTAAAATTGCTAAATTATTCCAGTCTTCAAAACTGGGGATCATTCCCAGGTCAATAATTATCGTCCAATATCTGTGTTGCCTTGCTTCTCAAAATTGTTGGAACGATTAGTTGCTAACCGTCTTGAACAGTTTATGGCTAGATTTAATATACTTGCACTATGTCAATATGGATTCAGGGCCAAACATTCAACTCAACTTGCCCTGATTGATTTAGTTGATAAACAACATCTAGCCTAGACAAACTGGGACATACAATTGATGTTTTTAGATCTTTCGAAGGCTTTTAATACAATAGACCATGATATTCTGATTTCAAAGTTATGTGCACATGGTGTCAGAGGTACTGCCTTGAAATGGTTTAAAGATTATTGATATACTCTGCATACGGAAGTAACTCGCGTCATGGCATCGATTTCTGCCAACACACTCGCAGCAATTTCTTGCACGGTGTCTACCGGATGAATTTCGCCAACATCGGTAATTTTCTTCAGTTCAACCGGCGAGTTTGAAGAATTCACTGCCCGAACGGGTATCATGTGGTTGCTTGGGTCAACTAGTGATCTGGCACATATGACAGGAACATTCTAGGAGAATTCCACGGGTTCAACAACGCCACAACTCGCGTCAGCATGATTCCTCCCGCTGATTTTACACGGCAAAGTAAATTCACTCCAGGCAGGTACGACGACATTTTTGCACAGCTGAACTCGTGCAACGCGCGTTTTCCCTTCAACTAATTCACAAGGGATCCATTCTCCTTCCACTTGAATTCCATCGCGAGTGCGTATTCCAATGTCATTACTGTGTATGAAGTCTCATCCGAGCAATACGTCATCCCGTATTGGCGCAACATACACAGGCCAGTCAAAGCGCACATTCATCATTTTACCAGCTTCAGCTTTCTCCAGCGCAATGGAACTTTGCTGCAAAGTTGGACGGAGTTCCGTCGGCAAGTCACGGTAAGTTCTTTCTGAAGGGATTGTTACATTACTTCGGCTCCCGTATCCACAACAGCTTGAAAGTTTTTTCCAAAAATTTCCAAAGGGGCAAGCATTGTATATCCACCTTCACCGGCACGTCTTATATCAATAACTGTACATAGTTTCTTTTCCTTTTGCCCGGCCGAACCCTGGCTGGTAGGCTCGGCCCTGCCTAGTTTTCCTTCTGATTGTCAGACGGCTGATTCCCGGGTCGACGTTCCTGATGATTCAGCTTCAGGGCAAAATCTTTTGATATGACCGGCCTTTCCGTAACCATGGCAAGTGACTTTCTGCTGGTTGTATCATCGGCTCAGTCCACCGGCTTGACGAGCGTTGTTCTTACAATTCAGCATTGACTTTATTTCCTTTAGCCCAGGCGTTGTCGAGGCAGTGACTTTGTCAATCACTTCAGCGGTAATGGTTTGGTTAAGTTCACGCCCAAACACCTGTAAGCGCTCTTCCGTCACGAGGCGTTTGTCGCTCACCTGGCGTACTTCGGTGGTCGGTTCTTGCTCCTCGCTAACCGAACTCACAGCACGCACTAATTTCCTTGAGAAATTGGTTTTGAAGCTTTTGTGAACCGCGATCATATGCTCAGCTTCATTTAAATCGCGAGGTTGCTTAACCATCACGTTATATCCCATCTGCGAATCTGGCAATGTTTTCAGGAAATGTTCAACGGCCAGTTTCTCTTGTAGCTCTTCTGGTGCAGCTGGGTACGTTTTCACGACATAGGCGCGTACTTTGGTGGCAAACTCAGTCGTAGACTCCTTTGCGTTTTGCCTCAAATGTGTGCAATTGAGTCCTGTATGTCTCCGGTAGTGCTCTGTCCCCAAACCGCCGCTTCAGGGATGCCGTCATCATGGAGTAATCATTCTGCACAGCTTACATCCTTCGATTTATTTCTTCGGACCATCGCATATATCCAAGAGTCGTATCCGATCTCTCAGCAAAATCCACAGAACATAATCCACAGGTGTTATCCATGGTAAACATCCAAGAGTGACAATCCAGTCACAATATTCCTGCGGTAAATTCAACTCCCACCAATATAATCCAATTTGCACTCTTTTTATTCCAACTTGCATCCGTATGTCCGAGTCGCACCAGGATATTTCAAATCGCACCAGTATATTCCAGGGTAAAATCCAATTCGAACTAAATCCAGTACAGATCCAGACTGCAGTGATCCTCGGTAAATCGGTGTCGTTCCACGGCTGCCGCCAAGTTGTCGTGGGTTCGCCGTCGAAAAGAGCAAATAAAAGGGCAGTCAAAAAGATGTATACTTCACAGCTGGTTTAATTCCTGGTACAGATCCCAATGGTCCAAGGTCAGAACACAAGTCTCTATCTACAATCTAGCGTGGCTATTTATACAGGTCGGACTTGTTTTTACAGAGTATTAATAACAAAACATTCCATCATAGCACTTACTAATAATAAGTCACATAAGGTAGAACAAAAGAGCGTGCAGCGCAGCCAACATTGGGTCGAGTTCGGGCGGCCTGTTCTTGACACGGGTTTCTTGTTCTCGCGCTCGAACGGCGGAAACACGACTCAAGAACACTTTTCTCGGAACAGGATCACACACCACCTCCTCGTCAGGGTTTTACAGGAACACACGGAAAAATCGTGAGATTTTTATTTTTGAACAGCTGCAAAGAGTAGAGAGATGGCTTCCAAAGCCACAGACAATGGAAAGTTTTGCAAAATTAGCATTATTTTCCGTAACACAGAAAAGAATGTTCCTGTTTATATAGAAAAGAATTCCACCCATCCAAACATTAACTCTCGAATAACGTAGCCTACTTGGACGCCGCCATGTTGCATGTTGCTTGTTACTAACTACCAGCGAGAACCAGTTGTTTGCTCCCGGCGTTCGAGCAGCCAACCCACGAACAACAAATCGAGCTGTTCGTGAACATACGGGAACAAGACGCCCGAACTCGGCCTCAGTGTCTCATGCTCACCGCAAGAGGGCACTAGCGCGACCAAGCAAGCAAGTGCGCGCTGTTCACATGTGGTTCTGATAGCACGCACGCGCGTGCGCAGCCGTAACTCAACTGTGCACTGTCATTGCACCCTGGAGTGGCGAAGACACGACGTGAGCGAACTAATAATCGCAGAGCGCGCTGTCAGGTAATAATACCAGAAATAACCAATAATCATTAACTAATTATCGATCAACAGTTCATGTTGAGTAATTTCACAACACTATGTTTGTGACCGAGGCCCCCCTTTGTTAGAGCCAATCATTTTGTGCTAAAAATGGCATACAATTCCAAATCAAATGACCAATTCATACTTTGTTGTTATATCTGGAACGGGCCATTCGATTATGAAAAGGCATTTAGAAAAAGTCCCAAAAAATTAATCTCACCGGTTACGTTGATTATCAAAAGGGCACATTTAATGCAAATGTAAAGCTAATTTTATAAATAAAATTGCATAATGCAAAAGTAAAGGAAGCAACCCTAATGAGCAGGACAGCTATGAAAAGACAATGCTGAAGAGGGCTGCAAATTGGAACCCGGGAGCATCTTTTCATTACTATCCATCAAAAACCAAGTATAGAGTCATACCGTCAAGTAACAGCGTATGAAGAGGTGGGAGTATCTGTACCAGTTTCCAAGTCAGACATGTCGGTTAATGAATCATGCTCTGAAGTGTCCAAAGATTCGGCTAAAGTTCTTGATGTGAATTTATGAGATACATCATGCACATGATCCTTCAACAGCTCATTTTATCTTCTACTGATGTACATGTATAAATATTATTAGCTTTAGAGTAGGCATCACAGACTGCCTATGCAACACCTTCTCTTCACAGACTGCCTATGCAACACCTTCTCTTCACAGACTGCCCATGCAACACCTTCTCTTCACAGACTGCCTATGCAACACCTTCTCTTCACAGACTGCCCAT